AGACTAGACTATAGACTAGACTATAGACTAGACTATAGACTAGACTATAGACTAGACTATAGACTAGACTATAGACTAGACTATAGACTAGACTATAGACTAGACTAGAGACTAGACTATAGACGAGACTATAGACAGACTATAGACGAGACTATAACTAGACTATAGACTAGACTATAGAACTAGACTATAGACTAGACTATAGACTAGACTATAGACTAGGACAAGAGACTAGACTATAGACTAGACTATAGACTAGACTATAGACTAGACTATAGACTAGACTATAGACTAAGACTATAGACTAGACTATAGACTAGACTATAGACTAGACTATAGACTAGACTATAGACTAGACTATAGACTAGACTATAGACTAGACTATAGACTAGACTATAGACTAGACTATAGACTAGACTATAGACTAGACTATAGACTAGACTATAGACTAGACTATAGACTAGACTATAGACTAGACTATAGACTAGACTATAGACTAGACTATAGACTAGACTATAGACTAGACTATAGACTAGATATAGACTAGACTATAGACTAGACTATAGACTAGACTATAGACTAGACTATAGACTAGACTATAGACTAGACTATAGACTAGACTATAGACTAGACTATAGACTAGACTATAGACTAGACTATAGACTAGACTATAGACTAGACTATAGACTGACTATAGACTAGACTATAGACTAGACTATAGACTAGACTATAGACTAGACTATAGACTAGACTATAGACTAGACTATAGACTAGACTATAGACTAGACTATAGACTAGACTAAGACTAGACTATAGACTAGAATATAGACTAGACTAATAGACTAGACTATAGACTAGACTATAGACTAGACTATAGACTAGACTATAGACTAGACTATAGACTAGACTATAGACTAGACTATAGACTAGACTATAGACTAGACTATAGACTAGACTATAGACTAGACTATAGACTAGACTATAGAACTAGACTAGACTATAGACTAGACTATAGACTAGACTATAGACTAGACTATAGACTAGACTATAGACTAGACTATAGACTAGACTATAGACTAGACTATAGACTAGACTATAGACTAGACTATAGACTAGACTATAGACTAGACTATAGACTAGACTATAGACTAGACTATAGACTAGACTATAGACTAGACTATAGACTAGACTATAGACTAGACTATAGACTAGACTATAGACTAGATATAGACTAGACTATAGACTAGACTATAGACTAGACTATAGACTAGACTATAGACTAGACTATAGACTAGACTATAGACTAGACTATAGACTAGACTATAGACTAGACTATAGACTAGACTATAGACTAGACTATAGACTAGACTATAGACTAGACTATAGACTAGACTAGACTAGACTATAGACTAGACTATAGACTAGACTATAGACTAGACTATAGACTAGACTATAGACTAGACTATAGACTAGACTATAGACTAGACTATAGACTAGACTATAGACTAGACTATAGACTAGACTAGACTAGACTATAGACTAGACTATAGACTAGACTATAGACTAGACTATAGACTAGACTATAGACTAGACTATAGACTAGACTATAGACTAGACTATAGACTAGACTATAGACTAGACTATAGACTAGACTATAGACTAGACTATAGACTAGACTATAGACTAGACTATAGACTAGACTATAGACTAGACTATAGACTAGACTATAGACTAGACTATAGACTAGACTATAGACTAGACTATAGACTAGACTATAGGACTAGACTATAGACTAGACTATAGACTAGACTATAGACTAGACTATAGACTAGACTATAGACTAGACTATAGACTAGACTATAGACTAGACTATAGACTAGACTATAGACTAGACTATAGACTAGACTATAGACTAGACTAGACTATAGACTAGACTATAGACTAGACTATAGACTAGACTATAGACTAGACTATAGACTAGACTATAGACTAGACTATAGACTAGACTAGAATAGACTAGACTATAGACTAGACTATAGACTAGACTATAGACTAGACTATAGACTAGACTATAGACTAGACTATAGACTAGACTATAGACTAGACTATAGACTAGACTATAGACTAGACTATAGACTAGACTATAGACTAGACTATAGACTAGACTATAGACTAGACTATAGACTAGACTATAGACTAGACTATAGACTAGGACTATAGACTAGACTATAGACTAGACTATAGACTAGACTATAGACTAGACTATAGACTAGACTATAGACTAGACTATAGACTAGATATAGACTAGACTATAGACTAGACTATAGACTAGACTATAGACTAGACTATAGACTAGACTATAGACTAGACTATAGACTAGACTATAGACTAGACTATAGACTAGACTAGACTAGACTAGACTAGACTAGACTAGACTATAGACTAGACTATAGACTAGACTATAGACTATAGACTAGACTATAGACTAGACTATATAGACTATGACTAGAATAGACTAGACTATAGACTAGACTATGACTAGAGACTAGACTAGACTATAGACTAGACTATAGACTAGACTATAGACTAGACTATAGACTAGACTATAGACTAGACTATAGACTAGACTATAGACTAGACTATAGACTAGACTATAGACTAGACATAGAGACTATAGACTAGACTATAGACTAGACTATAGACTAGACTATAGACTAGACTATAGACTAGACTAAGACTAGACTATAGACTCGCTATAGGACTAGACTATAGACTAGACTATGACTAGACTATAGACTAGACTATAGACTAGACTATAGACTAGACTATAGACAGACTAGAGAAACTAGACTATAGACTAGACTATAGACTAGACTATAGACTAGACTATAGATAGACTATAGACTAGACTATAGACTAGACTATAGACTAGATATAGACTAGACTATAGACTAGACTATAGACTAGACTATAGACTAGACTAGACTAGACTATAGACTAGACTATAGACTAGACTATAGACTAGACTATAGACTAGACTATAGACTAGACTATAGACTAGACTATAGACTAGACTATAGACTAGACTATAGACTAGACTATAGACTAGACTATAGACTAGGACTATAGACTAGACTATAGACTAGACTATAGACTAGACTATAGACTAGACTATAGACTAGACTATAGACTAGACTATAGACTAGACTATAGGACTAGACTATAGACTAGACTATAGACTAGACTATAGACTAGACTATAGACTAGACTATAGACTAGACTATAGACTAGACTATAGACTAGGACTATAGACTAGACTATAGACTAGACTATAGGACTATAGATAGACTATAGACTAGACTATAGACTAGACTATAGACTAGACTATAGACTAGACTATAGACTGACTATAGACTAGACTATAGACTAGACTATAGACTAGACTATAGACTAGACTATAGACTAGACTATAGACTAGACTATAGACTAGACTATAGACTAGACTATAGACTAGACTATAGACTAGACTATAGACTAGACTATAGACTAGACTATGACTAGACTATGGGCTTGATTATAGACTAGACTATAGACTAGACTATAGACTAGACTATAGACTAGCTATAGACTAGACTATAGACTAGACTATAGACTAGACTATAGACTAGACTATAGACTAGACTATAGACTAGACTATAGACTAGACTATAGACTAGACTATAGACTAGACTATAGACTAGACTATATAGACTAGACTATAGACTAGACTATAGACTAGACTATAGACTAGACTATAGACTAGACTATAGACTAGACTATAGACTAGACTATAGACTAGACTATAGACTAGACTATAGACTAGACTATAGACTAGACTATAGACTAGACTACAGACTAGACTATAGACTAGACTATAGACTAGACTATAGACTAGACTATAGACTAGACTATAGACTAGACTATAGACTAGACTATAGACTAGACTATGGGCTTGATTATAGACTAGACTATAGACTAGACTATAGACTAGACTATAGACTAGACTATAGACTAGACTATAGACTAGACTATAGACTAGACTATAGACTAGACTATAGACTAGACTATAGACTAGACTATAGACTAGACTATAGACTAGACTATAGACTAGACTATAGACTAGACTATAGACTAGACTATAGACTAGACTATAGACTAGACTATAGACTAGACTATAGACTAGACTATAGACTAGACTATAGACTAGACTATAGACTAGACTATAGACTAGACTATAGACTAGACTATAGACTAGACTATAGACTAGACTATAGACTAGACTGTAGACTAGACTATAGACTAGACTATAGACTAGACTATAGACTAGACTATAGACTAGACTATAGACTAGACTATAGACTAGACTATAGACTAGACTATAGACTAGACTATAGACTAGACTATAGACTAGACTATGGGCTTGATTATAGACCAGACTAAAGACTAGACTATAAAATAAACTATAGATTTGACTATAAACTAGACTATAGACTAAAGTACAGACTTGACTATAGACTATACGAAGGTCTAGACTACAGTCCAGACTATAGACTATACTATAGATTAGACTATATACTATACTATAGACTAGATAATAGACAAGACTATATTCTTCTTTGTATACTAGACTAAAGACTAGAGTATAGACTTATCCAACAGTTTCAAGATCTTAAAATTCGTTGAAAGAACAATAGTTTAGCGAGAACATTGTACATATATAAAATATGTTATGTATAAAAAAGCTTTCAATTTAATTATAAAGACAGCGCCAGCTATTAAGCTTCATCAGCCATTTTATTATGTTTTGTGTCAAATTCCAAAAAAAAAAAAAAAAAAATATTTATATTTTTCTAATTCACATTTTGCAAAATAAAAACCAAAAAAAAGCTTGCACTTACTAATCATATTGTTTACAGTTGCTATAATTTATATCAAATAACTTCTTATTAATTCTATTACAGTAACCTTTACAAAGGGCTGCCACATTAGCAGCCAATTAGTTAAAGCCTAAAGTAACAGAAAAAAAACAAGAAAGAACAAACCTGAAGGAGATACTATCACTCAAAAGTTAAAACTAGAAACGGGGAAACTGAGTAAAAAGAAGTTAAAGATGGATCATTATACAAAAAAGAATATCATTTTTTTAAAGCATTTTCCAATTAACTACTTAAGAAACAGAAAATATTGCAAAAGAAAAACACTAATCAGGACATTTAAAGGTTTAAAAAATCTAAAAATAAAAATTAAATAAAAAACAAAAATAAAAACGAACAAAAAAGAAACAGCTTAATATATAAGAACAATTGAAAAATTTAATGAAAAAAATAATAAGAAAAATTATAAAAAAAAGTATAAAATTAAAAACAAAATATGTAAAAGAAAATTGCATTTAATACCACAAATTAAATTTAGTAAAACAAATTTAAATATAATAAAAAGAAATTAAAAAATTGTAAAATAAACAAAAAACGCTAAATAATTAAACATAAAAAAAATATTTGTTATTTAATTTAAATTAAAAACAAAAATATATATAAATAAATAAAAATATAACTTTATTACTTCTTAAAACTAAAAAAACCAAAACAAGACAAGAGAAAATATTATACTTTAATAAAAAAAATAGTTAAAATTTATTATTAAAAATATTATAATACAAGAAAAAAAAAATAATATTATTTTAATTAAAAAAATAATAATAAAAAAAATTTTAAAATACCTATAAAAGTATAAATAAGTTAAATTAAACAAAAAAACAAACGACCATTCTTTAATGAACAAAAATTAATTAAATAACTAAAAAAAAAATATATTATAATAAAATAAAATTATTATTAAATATTAACTTAAAAACCCCATATAAGTAAAAACTGAAAATTTAACAAAAAAAAATATATATAAAAACAATTTGCTATATATATAAAACTGAAATTCAAAGAAAAATAAAGTAACAACTGACACTTTAAATTTAATATACAAAAACAATATATATTAAACAAAACAAAAAAAAAACTCTTTATATTTATTAATACCAAAAACAAAATGATATAATATTAAAGAAAACATAAAAAAAATTTCCTGTAAATAGTTAATTTATTATTAAAAACAAAAATAAATATTATTAAAGCAGTAAATAATAAAAAAAATATTTATTAATATAAAACATTTAGTTACCAACCAAAGAAATTAAATAAATAAAAAAAAATTATAAATAATAAAAGAAAATTTATTAATATTTAAATATAAATCAAATTTGCAAGAATGATAAATAAGTTATAAAATAAATTAAAAAAAAAAATATTAGCATTTGTATTATAATATATTAATAAAACAAAATTAAAGAAAATAATATAGAAAAAAATATAAAATAAAAATATTTTTCAAATTTCATACATAAAATAAAACTCAAAAGCAAAAGAAAGTAAAAATCCATATATATAAAAAAAATAGTTACAAGAAATTTTAAAACACAAACAGACATGTTTTTACTAAATTGTTTTCTAAAATCTTTAAGAAAAAAAATCGACTCCAAATCTCTTTTTGATTCGACTTAACGATGTCTGTCCTTCCGTCAACTTCAACGCATGATATCTCAGCAACTACAGCAGACATGAAGTCGAAGTGTTTTACGTGAGTACCTGACGTGGAGCCCTATCTCACCGTGGTACTTTTTCAACCACTGGGTGAGTAACAAGTAAACAACTCACCACTGCCCCTTAAACGCAGGTCGCAATTTTTGTACATGGAAAAAACCGGTCCAAGTACAAGCACTTTGCTCAAGTACTCGAGCTATATAATCTCTTACCATAATAGTCACGTTGGGGAAAGACAGGTGTCATGAGCAAGCTCAATCTACCCCGACATAATGTCGCCCAACCACACTACTATGGTTCTGTTGATTCGGCAACAGCTTCTAGGGGACGTAATTGGTGGATCATATTAATTGACAAGACTTTATTTCAGTGCCCACAAAGACCCACTGTAATAAGTTGAACATGCACTCAACCATGTTGGAAAATCGCCAATAAATTAAAGAAAGGGCAGTGACGACCTTGTACCATAAACTCCTCCCCTTTTTGCTAGACCGTAGTCTAACACATCGTTGATCGTTACACCATCACACATCCGTCAAATCCATCAATCACTCCATTCTCTCTATAGAATCATAGTAGACATCAGAAACATCGTTCATCTTCGTATACCCGATCTTTGCATTATCAGCTCAATTCCAACATTTCATTAATCCACAGTCATGCTCTATAATTTGTACCGCTCCTTGCATCTAGGAACGATAACAGAAATGTATCCTGAAAATTTATATTTCACTGTGTATTAGTCTTTTGACCAAGCACCCCCTTCCTGCGATTAGGTTTCAACCACAGCCAGTACGTGCATCCCGAAGGAACCTCAACCAACTGACCAGACAGAACATAGTCCTGCGGGCAACTAGCCACCCGTAGTACCAGATTATGTGGTTCTCTGGTTAGACCTCTTTCCAGTTTATGCAAGGACTAAGCCAGGCAGTAAATTGTCAACACCAATTTATAGTCCCCGAAGACTACAGGTATTGGTAGCACCTATCTACCCCCAGATTGCAATACACCAAGATGCGGTCTGACATCAAGGAAACATGCCCGGGGGGGGCTGTTTAAAACAGACAAACATTTTGAAACCACATCTATCTAAGGTTGCTTTAATCGACTCAAAATCACTTTCTGATTCGACTTAACGATGTGTGTTGGTCCGCCAATTTCAAGGCATGATAACTCAGCAACTACAGCAAATTTTTAAACAATTCAAAACACAGTATGGGTGAAAATACCTCGAAGAAGATAGAAAATATGTTAAATATTAATTTTATCTTTATTTTAAAACTGACAGAATGAACTTTCAGGCAACGTACAACATTTTATAAATAAAGTTATCTTGGCACTGTTATTGCATTTGAAAAAGTGCCAAAAATTACACGATATCTCAAATTCCAGTTGTTGTGGAGAGAATCTGACGTCAGATTCATATTTTTGGTAAAGTAAAGGCAAAGTATTCGAAAATATACAGTTTTTTTTTCAATCAAGCTTTAGGTGAAGATAAAAAACGTGTCAGATGTTATACCTTTATTTTAAAACTGACAGAATTAATTTTCAGGCAATGTACAACATTTTATAAATAAAGTTGTCTTGGCTATGTTATTGCGTCTGAAAAAAGTGCCAAAAATAACACGATATCTCAAATCCCAGTTGTTGTGGAGAAAATCTGAGGTCAGATACATATTTTTGGTAAAGTAAAGGCAAAGTATTCGAAAAAATACAGTTTTTTTCAATCAAGCTTTAGGTGAAGATATCTCGAAGAAGATAAAAAAACGTGTCAAATGTTATACCTTTATTTTAAAGCTGACAGAATGAACTTTCAGACGGCGTACAACATTTTATAAATTGTCTTATCGCAGTAATAGCGTCTCAAAAAGGGCTACGGATACTATATCTCAATCCTAGTTGTTAATAAGAAAATCTGAGGTCAGATTCAATCCTTTAGAAAAGTACACTATGGTATCTGGGTCAAACATTTGTCGGCCTGTGTATAATTTTCATAAATTACCAAATAATGTACGATATAACTGCTGGTCATTACAAAAAATTCGATTCTATACATATTTGTATAAGGATATAATTTGTATACACATTTGATACCGACAATGGATGGCCTCATTATAAGTCCATGTTTAATATGTAATCGACCCATGACAAGACACGAACGAACAACTCTATCTTATTGGTATTGATATTAGATATAACCTGTTGAATGTGCAATAGCTAAAAGTCTCAGTCCCTTGACACAGCAGGACATAGCCAAAGCAAATGGTCAGGTTTCATCATCTTGCCTAAACTGACCTGTAAAGTTCACGCTGTAATTTACGAAGTAAGTGATCAGGTTTGACTATCTGATCTGATCAGACCTTTAAAGTTCATGCTATATTGGAAATTTACAACATGACAAGAATTATTGTGTCGATTTCCCTTTCATGTAGGCGTGAGCCGTTCGCTATGTTATTCTCTTATCAGGACAGATCAAGTAAGAGGTTTAACTAACCGATCTGACTAGACCTTTAAAGTTCACATTGTACATATTAGAAAATTACAACATGACAACATATATCGATTTCATCTAGAGACACCCAACATTGGTGAACCAATATATATGTCGTGAGGTTAGAAATTGGACCTTTGTATAGCCAAAATATGAGCCTGTAAGATGCTTCATTGAAAGTTCAGTCTTAAACACAGACTTTTATTCAAACGGGGAATGTACAAGCTACCTTGCACTCCCGTTTTAGAATTGGATGGAAACGAGCACTTCATTACCATAATAACATGAAACGTTCGCTATTTTAGCTCTGAATCGTTTGTCGGAAAAGATTAGACCATAGACTGGTCACTAGATTAGTCCATATTGACTAGATTAATTAATAGACTAGTGAAGAGTCTAGTCAATAGTCTTATACATAGACGATAGACAATGGACTTGGGAGCAGCTCACTACAGTTATATCTTCCTTTTTTTGCATTCTAAAGCAAAAAAAGGTAGTAAAAATTAACTAGAGGCTACGTACAGAACAATATTGAACAGCTAAGAGAGACAGCACTGATAACAGCGCTTCTGAAACATCAGGGCTGTCAATGAAAACAATGTCGTACTCGACTAAAAACTTAACTTTCTATTAGATCGATTAGATTATTGAAAGCTTTTCGATGCTCTCTTTCAAATCCAATCAAATTGTCAGCTGTTTCATGATCCTTAAAATCGTTCTGAGAAAGTTAGTTCAGCGCAAACATTGTCTATGAAAACTTTTACGTCGTAGGTTTTCGAAAATTTTGTCTCGAGTTGGCACTTCCATATAATGCTTTTTTCGTAAGCAACTAATTCGATGGAGTATCTTGCAATTGAGTATTTCAAACGTTCATTGAGGCCCCTTATAGCTTTATTTGATCAGATTTCCTACAATGATATGAAGAACAACATTGAAAAGTAAAAGAGTTCCATTCCATAACCATTCCAGAGTGATGGGATCATTGTTATACGATAAGTCATGCCGGAGGTTCAAAATAAAAGCCTGAACTATTCTGCTATTGAAAAGCTGAAAGTGTTCCAACACTAATAATTCTATAGTGATTAGATCGGTGTAATAAGATTAGTCATGCTTGAACTGTTCTACTCATTATAGTTATATCAATCCTTTTTGGGAGTATTATTAGTTTCCAATTTGTGGCAG